ACAGATCATGCAATTATTCAACTTTATGATAAAATGATTACAGCATTGGCTAATAAGGAACACAGTGTAGGCATTTTTATGGACCTGAGTAAGGCATTTGATACTATTGATCATAAAATATTGATTGATAAATTACAATGTTATGGAGTAAGGGGTATTGCTTTATCATGGTTTAACAATTATTTGTTAAATAGAGAACAGTATGTATACTTTCAATCTAAAGAGTCGAGTAGATTACCTATAACTTGTGGCGTCCCTCAGGGATCGATTCTAGGTCCTTTATTATTTTTGTTATACGTTAATGATATTGTAAAATCATCTAAACTTTTAACATTTATATTGTATGCAGACGACACTAATGTATTTTATTCTCATACCAATTTAGACACACTTACGTCAATCTTAAATGTTGAATTATCTAAAATATATGTTTGGTTTAAGTCTAATAAGTTATATCTTTAAATTTTACTTAAACAAACTTTATATACTTTAGAAATGTTCATTCACCAAAAGTAAATTATAGATTATATATTAATGATATTTTGCTTTTAGAAAAAAATTCAGTCAAATTTTTGGGGATAACCATTGATTCTAAATTAACTTGGTCCGATCATATACATAATATATTGAACACTGTTTCTAGGAACATTGGAATATTATATAAATTGAAATTATTACTAACTCCCAAATCTCTTTTTATGATTTATAATGCTTTTGTACTTTCGCATATTAATTATTGTAATATCGTATGGGGAAACTGTTGTAAAACTAAAATTAATTTACTTGAACTTTTACAAAAGAAAACTTTACGAATTTGTACACAATCTGATTATTTAGCACACACTACACCTATTTTTAAAATATTGAAAACTCTCAAAGTAACTGATATGCACATTTTTCAAACAGCTATTTTTATGTATAAATATGTCTCCAACTTACTTCCTAAGTCCTTTCATGATTTTTACATTCATAATGTTAATGTACATTCGTACCCCACGAGGCACTCTATGGATTTTCATTTAACTAACCCTAAAATTGTTTTGGCACACAAATCAATAAGACGCAATGGACCCGATGTGTGGAACTCCTTGCTTATAACATTAAAATTATGTACAACACTTGTTTCCTTTAAAGTGAAGATGAAAGAATATTTATTGATAAGGTATGATAATTAGATTCTGGTCATAATATACTACATGTACTTTGTTTTAATATAAATATTCATTGTTTATTTGTATAAAAAAAGGAAATTATTTGATAGATTGAGGAGCTCGCGCAGTGCACTCTTCACTTTGCACAGCACTCTCTTCACCCGCTCTTTCTTCCTGTCTCCTCTCCTCCTTTTGTAAGGCCGGTATCATTTCAAGCTCTGCTTACGATATCGGTCTTCTGCATTCTCCCCCTTTTCTTTCTTTTCAAATACGATTAATTGTACTATTGATTATTTATATTTATTTATTTATATGAATTACTACTTGTATTACTTATCATTATATTGCTAAAATGTATTCATTGTTATTGTTGTTATTGTTTATGGAAAATGCAGAAATAAAAAACTTGAAATCTGAAAAAAAAGAGACGACATTGTGCTGGATAAATCTATTTTTTCCGACAAAAGTACAGAAAATTTGCATATGGTCTTTTTATATCGTACTTTATGAAATGTTACCCGATCGACTCCCGGGCGCCCCAATGCTGGAAAGAAACGCACATTTTAGAAAACTTCACCTTTTCATGGAAAAATGCTTATTTGTTCTATGCACGCAATTCAGATTGAGCGGATGATACAACGTTTCCATATGTAAGAGCTATAGAGCCAGAAAGTAATAGTCTGATTTTCAGACCATTGTACCGAATGGTCGTACGTTTTATGCTGCGCAAAGATTCAATCAGTTTAATTTTGGCCAGTACAAGAAGTGGGTTATTGTTGTAGACAAATGCTCATGTACCCTTTACAGCTCCATGTATGTGTGTTACTACCAAAGAAGAAAAAAGCCAGTCAGTCACTCAAAAGTGTCTGACAGTGAAGTCTAGCAAGTAAACGGGTTTCCTTGCATAATTCGAATAATATTATTAGCACACTGCTAACGTTTCAATTTCACAAATAGGACATACACGACATATTCATAATTCCTGCAAAGCTCTACATAATTTGATGTTGGCTGCAAAAGGGACATAGTATCTTTAAACATACATTTATTTTCAACTATAAAATGTACTCATAACATTAGAGGTTCTACGTTAAGGGTCTCATTTTGATAAAATATTGCTCCAGACCATGATTTACGTCATTAAACAAAAATATAGTAACCTACCAGTGTCACAAATAAGGTATCAAAATAGGCTCATCTGACCTTAATTAAATGCCCAAAACTCCTGCCTCCGCCCCCTGGACCCAACGCCAATAAACGCTCCGCTCGCTACGCTTTACCCGATGGCATATAGGTGCCATAGAAAAGTTATGAATAACGTGTAAATAGCATTATTTAATACATTTATACAAAACAATATGTGATGTACCATTTGTTTTGTAAAAAGAAGTTTAATAACAAATATCTATGTCATATAAAAAAATACTGGACAAAATTAAAGAGGAGATATGAGGAGCAGAGCGAAATGAATCAGTTGGGAATGAAGGATGAAAGGAGTGTTACGGTATGATGGATAGGAGGAAAACAAGGAGATATGCATGACAGGTATGTCAGAGATGAAGAGAGAGATGGGGAGGGGTGAGGAGAGGAAGAGAGAACGAGAGAGAGAGAGAGAGATAAAGAGAGACAAAACGAGAAAGAGAGAGCGATAAAGATATGAGGAAAGGGTGAGGGAGGACAGAGGGGAGAGGGGTATACAGAGAGCGATATAGAGATAGAGAAACCTAAGATAAGGGGCGGGGGAAGAAAGTAGAAAACATAAAGGCTGGAATTTACAAACAAATGTGATTTAATCTTAAAACCGTATTCTAAACCCGATTATTCTGGGCGGCCGAAGAATGTGTCCAGAGAAATATCACCCGTTTTCTCAAAAACATATGTTAAAAAGTAATTTTTGTTTTGTTATAGAGAAAAACGTACAAGTTTGTTGTTTTACCACTAGTTCTTTATTCTTGGTCTCGATTTTTTTTCAATTTCGGCCGCCCATGGTAAATAGATAGTTAAGATCACGATAAAGGGTGAGACCAGGTTTATGAATTCCACACAAACGGTCTAGTGTACTGGACGATAGGAAACATACAATTGAGATTCTAATATTTGTTTTCTTTCTTATAAATTCTTTTAATATTAATAATCATTAGTATTCATAGCAAGAGAGAGTAAACCAGGCGCCGATCCACAATGCCCCCCCCCCCTCTAGCCCCCCAAAACAGGTAAAGAATAGTAAGGCCTACGTACACTTTTGAGTTTTTGAAACAAAAAACTAAAGCGCCCTCCAAACAAAAATATAGTCCTCTAACCCCCCCCCCCCTGCCTATTCGCCGAAAGAGCATACCAAATAATGTCCAAATGTCGAAAACCAATTGAATATGCTAAGTATTGGCTGAGATATGACAATCTGAATAAAAATATGTCGTATGGGAATTCAGTGTTATAGTATTCTGGTTCACAACATTAGGAACCAGAGCACTATAACACTGAGTTCCAATAGGGCATTATATTCAATTGGTTTTCGACATTCGGACATTATTTCGATGCTCTTTCGGAAAATGGAAGGAAACAAAATTCTAAAAATAGAATTTTATGATGTCACAGCTTCGGTACTCTATAGGGTAGGTTTACAGCGTATACATGCATACTTTAACTATTTTCTAATTTAAGAAAAAAAGAAACAAATGAGGAAAATAAAAATGTGTACAAAAAACTTTTTGGAGACCAGGAGTCTGTATCAAAACAGTCGCTTCATTTCACTCCTAGAAATTGATTTTCCGCGTTCTTCACAATAAAACTTCCAGTAACTACATTCTCGACCGGGTGCGGCTATCAGAATATCTGTATAGATTGAATTCAATTTAATATAATTTAACTAAACTGAATTGAATTGAAGCGGTAATTACTATGAAAAGGAAAACTGCCAAATTCACATGAAATATGCAAAATTACATTACCAATTATAACAGAAATGCTGTAAACGTTTACAAAGCTATCATAATATTCTTACATTACTTAGGATGTTCAGTCACGAAACAGAACTTAAGACGGTTAAACTAGGCCTAATTTGTGTACCCTACATCATAGCAAACTAATCTATCATATTATCAGTTCCAAGAGCTTTCAATATATATGGCTTTTCAGACAGGGTGCAAAGTGAATACGAAGGAATTTTTTAGGGAACGTAACAACCATGGTCCACCAAGGAATAAACCAAAATTGACTTGATGTATTTGGAAAGTTCAATGTAACATCCATGTACGAAGAGTAAAATGATATTATAAAATGAAAACAATATAATTAAACCAATTACTTGACATGATTATCCGTGAAAGCTGAAAAGCTTATTTACAATGGGGTCCTATTTACAATGTCAGTATGAAATTTGTTTAAAGATACAAAATAGTCACAAAAAAGTCAAGAAATATGAGCACAAACTTTAACAAAAACATTTGAGAATAACAACATAAATGAAATAACACTAATAAGAAGTTAATCAATATCTTACATATTTTCAAGCTGTACATTATGATATCATATTACTGGCTTTCAGTAAATATCTAGGTTGAACGATAACACAATTTCGAGATAGGGAAATTATAATTACATTAGATAATGACAACGGTATTCAGGCAATTAAAATAAATCGAGAGAAAAGGCATCTTCCCATTCGGTGAGTTATCACATAGAAAACGATAGAATATGACACATTATATAGGCCCATATTAGAGTGGATCTGGAGGAGAGATACACACCAACATAGAGTGTGAGATGTATTATAGTGATACTTTGATAAAATACAACTTCATACACCAAGCAAACGCGAGCATGTATGGAGAGAGGGAAACCAAGTAACACCGATTATCGTGTATCGTCAGATTAAGTACATTGAACTCAACTCTCTTCTTCAGGTTCAGACCATCAAGGTCATATAGCTTGATCACCACGTGACCATTCTTAAGATCAACACTCGCTACATACACCCTGTCCTGCTCATCCATGGCAGCAAACAGGCAGACACCGAGAGGAGCTTGTAGAGACTTACCAGCATTCCCATCCCTGTCATAGACCGTCACCACGCTTGGGCTGGTGAAATCACATGAACTAGTGACGATCAAACCCGACCTAGTGGCAGATACCTGCCACGTCTTGTTCTGTTTCGTTGGAACAGTGTGTTTGAGAGTGGATCCCGTCGGGTCATAGATATAGACTTTCTTCTCATTGTTAGCGATGAGGATTTCATCTGATGGACTTCTGTTTAGACTGAGAATGCCATAGCCTATCCTGGGGATGGTTGAATTCCTTGATCCATTGGGAGAATATATGTGTGCTTTACTGCCAGGTGTCGCTATGCACAACGACCTGTCTTGTTGAAACATAAGATCATAGCATATCATGTTACCTGCTATGTATGCATACTGCTCCTGTTTACCAGCTGAATCAATGATATCTATACCACGTGTATACAGATATCCGATAGCAACACTGTCCTCAGAGTACGGGGTCATACCCGACATCATTCCCCGTAGATCTACACACTTAATGACTTGCAACTTGGGATCTGATTCTAAGATGCTCCCGAGTTCAAGACGAGTATCATCTGCAGGCTTAAACGTCTTCGTCTGTGATTTCCTCATAATGGCTGCCGCAGAAGTGTGATCAGTAGCTGATTCTGAGATGCTCCCGAGTTCAAGATGAGTATCATCTGCAGGCTTGAACGTCTTCTTCTGTGCTTTTATCGTAATGGCTGCCGCAAAAGTGAGATCAGTAGCTGATGCTGAGATGCTCCCGATTTCAAGACGAGTATCGTCTGCAGGCTTGAACGTCTTCTTGTCTGTTTTCCTCATAATGGCTGCCGCAGAAGTGAGATCAGTAGCTGATTCTGAGATGCTCCCGAGTTCAAGACGAGTGTCATCTGCAGGCTTGAACTTTTTCTCCTGTGCTTTCTTCGTAATGACTGCCGCAGAAGTGTGATCAGAAGCCTCCTTCAGCATGGCATCCAGCTCCTCACAAAGCAAGGTATGAGCAGACAGACTGTCTTTCTCAAGACGACCCAGTCTGTCATTTGCTATCAGTGTTATTGAACTACAAATACTCTTGATCTTCTGTCGATCCTTGGATTTCAAGACGTTGAGGTCGTCATCGAAACTCTGCTTTACTACATTGATTTGCTCGATAAGATGTCGATGATTTTCTTTAAGCTCTTTGGCCTTGATGCTGAAGGCTTGACTGACATCGTCCAGTAGTTTCTGCGCGGCAGTGTAGACTTCATGGCGTTGTACTTCAACATTCTGAATGTTCTTCTCCAGTTCTGTCTTCTTAGCGGCACATCGCTGGACAAGATCGTTCACCTAAACAAAACAAATAATAGAGAAGTTAAAAGAACATTTTCTGATTGAGATGTATGCTAATTACATGAAGATGCTATGCAAATTAAACACAAATTTTGCACGCGCCTGATGTTTCAGAAAAAAGGCTCCTCCCTTCCCACATTATCATTAATCATAAGAGGACAGAGGAATGTAATACATTGTTTTTTCTGCTTTTCTTAGAAGGCAATGCAACTCTTGTAATAAGTCCATTTGTATGGAAGCAGAAATATCATATAAAGAGAATGGGGATAGGCCAAATAGTAATAGTAGTATTATCATGATAACAATAATCATGATGATGATAATAAGGGTAAATTGAAATTATTAAATAAATATAATAATAATAATAATACAATATAATGAACATAAGAATAATAATCAAAATACTACTTATATTACACATTTTGGTGATAATGATGATGATAGGGCAAAAAATATTGACTAATGAATGACTACGCTTACTACCTTCGAATAGCCCCCCCCCCCCCCTCCCCTCCCAGTAACAAACAACATTTTTCTTTCATACGAATTTGTCTTGATAGTTTTAGTTAACAAAATAAAGAGAAAAGGTCATTGCATTCCTCTTATTGTGTGGAATTGGATTGGAATATCTTTTAAAACACAGAATTAAATTTAAGATATTTACAAATTGAAGTTTACTTAAAGTTATTATATTATTTATGACATAAAAAACCTCATATTAAAGTGCTTAAATAATATCAATGATCATATAGCTCATCAGAAAGTTTACTATTACGCGAGGGAGAAGGACCGATCGAGAAAAAAAATGCTTCTGTGAAATTGAAAAGTGTAATCAAGTATAGTTTGAAACACCACGGATAATCCCAGCCGATACTTCGAAATAATGATTTACATAAGACAGAGCATATGCAAGCAACAGAAAGAGCTTCATGTCTTGTAAGAGGGGTGGGCAAACGCGTAGTCACACCCCCTTTCAGGAGCGTACGCAGGGGGGGGGGGGGGGGGGGGGGGTGGAGGTTTAGAAATGTGAAAATCGCGCCAATTTTGTTTGCAACAACTCAGGCAACCGCTGAATAAGCGAGGGAGGGGGGGGGGGTAAGAGCACATTTTTTTTTGTGGGGGAGGGGGGGATCCCGGAAATAATTTGGCCGACCGATATTTCGTTCAGCTAGACTGTGGGATGACCACTGATATTGTGAATTTCCGTGGGGCGGCAAATGCAACCACGTCTCTTTGACATGATAATATGTAATATTAGCTATTAGACGAGAGATGATTCTAGAATTTTGAACGGTCACACTTTGTTTTTGAGAACCTCATTTGTATGGTTTTACTTCTACTGCAACATTATTGATGTCAAAAGTTTCCTCCGGCAAGAGAGAAAGGAAAAGCTAATTCTCATTTTTTTGTCAAAAATATTTGGCTTTCTGATAGAAACAATTTTGCACCATCTCAGATAGTGAGATTAATTTGCCCCTTTTTTAGTACCTCTAGGAGACATGGTTTCTACAGTATGGACATAGGTTTACACTTCTCTCTGTAGTTTGTAAGGGAGCGTAACGACCAATAACTGATAACATTTAGGTTTTGGAATGGTTCAACTTTAAATTTTAGAGGATTTATCTGCTGATTGTGCTTAACTGGAAAATCTTAGTTGCCAGGGGGGGGGGGGGGTCCCATTTTGCCCCAACCCTTTGATAGATAGGAATTTCTTCTCACATGCTTCCGGTGTCTATGAAGTATATGTAGACAGGTAGACAGGTAAACACGAGGGCCCCGTCTCACAAAGAGTTACGATTGATCCAAATCAATCACAACTTTGTCTTAGGTACATAGTTGCGATTGATATCAACTTTTTGCAAGACGGGGTCCGGGTCTATTTCAGCGTACATGAAAGCTTAACAAAATGCAAGGAATTACATCTAAATTGTGTTCTTTGCGAGGGGCAGGGAAGGGGTATGAAACAAATTTAGCCCATTTTGTAATCATTGCAGGGGGCATCATATCTTCCTCTGCCCCCCCCCCCCCGCCTCCCCCGCTACCGGGGCTCATGGTAGCTTCCCATGTCTGAATTGTACAAGTACACCTTTTTTGTTTTTGTCAAATGAAACCACATTTACCTTTAGCCGTAGCTCTTGCTCGAAGTCAGCCTGATTCTTGATGTTATGATTTTGATGACCGACGATCACGCACTTGAGACAGACATGGACCTTACATTCCCCACAAAACATATCTCTATTCTCTTGTCTGTGGATGCAGCACTTTTCGGATAGGTGACCAATGCTGACCTTCCCGTCGATGATATCCTGTAAGGACACAATATCATGACCTTCAAAGAATAATGTCAGTTGCGTGTGGCTGTAGTCGCAATTATTGCACATGTAGTTATTACACGTTCTGCAGAATGAGACAGCATCTTGGTGAAACTTGCAAGCAGTGCATTTTGGACGCATCTCAAGGACAGCATTCATCCCTCCACACTTGGCGTGGTGATTGTCTACAAGTCCGTTAACAGTCACATTGGTGAGCAAATCATCGACACGGTTCGCAAACAACTTGGTAATCTTCCTGCAGAGAGGACAGATCATGTGATCGAGATCCTGATGGGACAGGTCATAGTTTTTGAGACATTTCCGACAAAAGGTGTGTCCGCATGAAGTCAAGATGGCTGCCTCGTCGAAAATATCAAGACATAGTGGACACGTCAGGTTCTCTGAAGAGCTTGGAGCTTTCTCCTTCGTCTTCTCAGCCATTTCTACAAATATCGGGTTTTGGCTTATTACAGACACGAGCTCATTCTACGCAAAAATACAATTTCCAATACAACTTCAAAGCGTGATCAGCTAATATGTACTAGAAGTCCACAGTATGTTCATATGCAAGCACACAAGCTAGGAAGTATCGTAGTAGATTGTACCATTAATATCTTGAGTCTCCGTAACAAGTGCGTCCTACAACTGCATGCAGTTCTGTACCACTTTCTCACGTTGATTACAAATATGTGTCAAAAGAAGTGCGAATAACGTTGATCAAAAGTACTGAGTCTCTATTTGAGTGTATACATCAATACAAACGTGATTACAATGTTAAACTCACACTTTAGTAGTTCGTCTGTGAATATAATGCAGTCTGTGCTTTCCCACAGACAGCGCGCGCAGCGTATAAAGCACCTTTGAACTTATGGGCGGTATTGATCATTTTTATATAGAGGGGGCTGATTTACTTTTTCAGTTGTGGATATTTTGTTTTAGAGATCCAATTTAGTAGAATTCTAGGTAATAGAGCGAGCCATTCTATTTTCTTTCACTACTATATTCGATAGAGTAAAAGGACTGTCACTAATGTTGTTTATCAAACTCTCTTTCATCATTATTCTTTCTTTTTCTCCGTCCATTACTCTCTTTCTCTTTCTCTTTTTTTTTCTGTCAATCAATAAAGGATTCTTCCAGTGTCAATCAACAATACAGTGTGCATACAACACAATAATTTACTAGTAGCCATAACTTAGGTTTACAGCTTACACATACTTACTATAACCACTTTCTAAATAAAAAAAAAGAACCAAATGAGGAAAATATCAAGTTTGAGACATTTGTTAAAGGTACTTTACAAAATGTGTACAAAAACAGTATGGAGACCCAAGCCCTATCTAATACAAAGAGTTGATATCAATCGCAACTATGTACATAAGAGATAGGAGACTGCAAACTTGCGACTGATTGGAGGACTTGCGATGGATTCGGATCATCCGGAACTCTTTGTAAGAAGGGGCCCAGAAGTCTGTATCGAAAAAGCCCCCCCCCCCCCCATTTTACCCATAAGAATTTACTTTCGTTCTTCAAGTCGCGATCTTTAGCAGGTTCGCGGCAGTGGGGGGGGGGGGGTAAATGCCCCTTGGTCAGAATAAAGTTAGAGACTATCTGGCGGTTTGCGTCTTTTCACCATAAGGGACGAATATAATAACCGAGCCCACCTTCACACGTTGAATAGTGGAAAACACCGAATCAACCAATAATATAGACATCTGGGTGGGAACCCTTTGTTGCTTGAATGCTAGCAATCCTTTGTGCGAATAACACGAGAAGAAACACACTGCAAGAGAAAAACTGATAACAAAGCAAACCACTCGCGTTTTTTTATTGTCGCTTGCAATTTATCATACACATATTTGTTCACGTCCACACATCAGTCAACATTTCTTCTCGTCAGCTAGTGCACCTACAGAACAAACTACATTTAGTTTAAGGGCATTTATACCTTTTCCATCAATAACTTAAAGGCAAAATTATAGATTCGTGCGAAATTATCTAAAATGATTTTTTTTTTCCCTATTTTTTCTTCTTCTAATTATTATTTTTTTATACAGTGCGTCCCAGAAAAAACGAAACCGAGAAGTATCGATGTTTTATCATAACTTAATCACAACCATAATTAATGAATGATACATATTTGGAAAGCTTAGAGTCCCCTCTTTCAGTTGATGCTACTCAGATGATGCATATTTCACGCATGAGTGATTAAAAGCAATTTGAAGGAAGGAAACCAAAAAGACATTTGGCGGGCGGTATCTGAATTTCGAAGAAAAATTCACATTTCTAGAAAGTTGAGTTTCTGCCCTTTCATATGACACCTCAATCAGGAAAAATGAGCGAGGAATAACAAAGTTCTGTTTGTTTAAAGTAGCCCTTACATTTTCATAATTTTAACAAACGAATTCGTTTTCACTGGGTGCCTGCCGTAGCAAAAAGCAGATTTGACAAAAGACTTAACTCCGTTTCGTTGACAATCAGCCATGCATGAAAACTCTCGTCTACGGCTGATTGTCAACGAAACGGAGTTAAGTCTTTTGTTAATTTCGTTTATTGATACGGCAGGCAGCCAGTGAAAACGAATTCGTTTAATAAAATTATGGAAATGCAATCACTACTTTAAACAAACAGAACTTTGTTATTCCTCGCTCATTTTTCCTGATTGAGGTGTCATATGAAAGGGCAGAAACTCAACTTTCTAGAAATGTGAATTTTTCTTCGAAATTCAGATACCGCCCGCCAAATGTCTTTTTGGTTTCCTTCCTTCAAATTGCTTTTAATCACTAATGCGTGAAATATGCATCATCTGAGTAGCATCACATGAAAGAGGAGACTCTAAGCTTTCCAAATATGTATCATTCATTAATTATAGTTGTGATTAAGTTATGATAGAACATCGATACTTCTCGGTTTCGTTTTTTCTGGGACGCACTGTATAAAGAAACTATACTGGAGAAAAACCAAATGCAAGTCGCTTGCATATACTCTTTCCTGGACATTTGGACACGGTAAAAGATTTTAATTTTAATTTTTTTATTTCCAGGCAAGATGATAACGTTACATAGAAAACATCACAGGGTTGAGAAAATGACATTACATATACAGTATGATATTTTGCACAAGCCAATGCCTGGGGATCACCTAAAAGAATTTAAAAATTCTGTCGAGAGGCTCTCCACATTGGCTGGTACATACATACAATAAAACATAAAGATAAGGTATACATATACATGAATGTGTAACTAAAATTAACCCTCATATTAGGCGCATGAGACGGAGAGCAGAAGCTAATACTATTAGGTAATGAAATAATTATCTATTCAGACTAAATTTGGTTATGATACATACAAATACAGCAAAATGTCTGTTAATATAGGGTAATACAAATGTAGATCGAGTACTGTTAGGATTTTTTTTTTTAAAGGATTGAAAAAAGAGCTGTTCAAACTATGCATGTATGATAAATGCATGTTAAATGCAGAAAATTGTCTGTTAATACAGTCATATAGATACGGTAATATTAGAAGTTAGCAACACAGTTTAACAGTATTATTAACATACATGGAAGTTATCACAGTTATGACAAATTATTATTGATATGATTGGAAGTTATCAAAATTGTGGAACATTATTATTGATATGATTGAAAGTTATCAAAATTGTGGAACATTATTATTGATATGATTGGAAGTTATCAAAATTGTGGAACATTATTATTGATATGATTGAAAGTTATCCAAATTTGGGATCATTATTATCGATTCCTAGAAAAAATTGAAAGACATAGGAATAAAAGTAAGAAGGATGTGATAGAACACATTGATAGAGAACGAAAACGTACATTACATACAAACTCAATAATTACAACATACGCATTAGAAATCAATAATACATATCAAAGTGTGAGTTATTCTATGATAGAGATAAAAGTGTGAACACAAACTAGTTTTCTTTTACAAGGGGATGCAATTCAAAGAGTAAATTTCGAAGCACATTAGGAAAAGGAAAGACATTGGTACCAAGACACAAGTCTCTGTCTTCGTATGAGAGGTGCTCCCAACATCAAGCGAAAACATAAAAACAAGAAAATCTCAAGCTATTGCATCTTGCTAATTCATGATTGAAAACAAGTGTATGGGTTCTGTTATGACTTGTAGCATATATTCAGGCATGTCATAAAGTCTCTGTAAGCACTTAATTACAAATAACATTGATAAGTACACAAGTCGGTATGCGTTCCGTGTAAGATACGGAATTAGCAACTTCGTAAGGGAAACAGAATCGGCTAAAACGCATTGGAACAATTTCGATAGCTCTGATATGGTTCTTTTGATGAGAGAACATGTTGGTATGCCGTACTCAATCACAGGTCGACATAATGAACAAAAGAGTTTTGTGAGAATAGCTCAGGTTCTAGATTTTATACGGTACGTCTGATAAACCCACAGAGCATAGAACATCTATTTACAACAAATTAAATATGATTCTTCCAATTCAGATCTCTCAAAAAAAGTGAGTCCTAGATATGTATAGGACTTAACTACATCTAAGGGATTTCCGTCAGTCGAGTAAACAGTAGTAATTAATTTACGGGATCTAGTTATGTGCATTACATTGCACTTATTTCAGGACCATGCCATACAACACAGATTCTATTACTCAAGTCAGTTTACAACACATGAGAGTCGTTGTCAGTATAAACTTTACGATACAAAACTGTGTCATCAGCATATCATGGGAGGGGGATGAGAAGTCGGTTGAAAATAATTAAACGAGATCGGTCAAATAACGAAACCCTGTGGCACACCGGAAGGAACTTGTTTCCAATCCGATTTTACCCCTTCAAACAAGACACACTGTTGTCGATCTGAGAGGAAAGAACGTATCCAACAAAGCAATTTGCCGAAAACGCCATAATTGTGAATAAGCTTGAAATTATGTTATTGCCAATCTTATAACTTATTTATCTTCACGACATTGTATTGACATCCATTGGACTTTACGAGAGAGAAATTTATCCTATCAAATGAGATTGATGTCAACAATTAATAATAAATCAAAATCAATTAAATGGGTTTCACAGGCTTAGATATGGGTTATTGGTTTGAGCTTCTTCTGCTCCACCGGAGAAAGAGAAAAACAAGCCCGGCGCAAGACATTGGTGGCGTCATTCTCTGGTATCATCCTGACCTTAGGCGTGTTTAGCATTGTCGTTGGTCAAATCAAATCAAAGAGGAACAAGGCGAATCAAAGACAGAATTAGTCGAAGGAGCATTTAATAAATGATAATTATTCATGAAGGATTCATTAATTGGTCATACCTGAGTCAAGAATGACTCACTTATCATCAGGAGCTAATTAGGTACCAATTTATTATCAATGTCTACTTAGACAACTTTAACTACTATCAAACGTCATAATTCATGGTAACACAGCAAGATTAA